CGTTATCTTCAGAGCAGATGTTTTTATTTTATTCGGCTTATAATTCCTTACTAAATGTAGTATTTAATTTCGATGTACTCCGTCTTTGATATGATTTAAATCAAATTCCTCGTCATTATAAATACCATGAATACAAATCAAATAGTTTTCTGGTTGCAATTTTCTAATTTCGGCTATGCGTAAGGTATGCTTTACGCATCCACGCGTTGAAAGAAATGTTTAATAAAGTAAACAAATAAATATTAGGCTTCTTTTTTGGTAAATTTTCATACCCTTTAGATCATAATTGCTCATTATTTTATAAATTACGGTTTCATATTTTTAATTTTATAATTTCTGCATGCCATCTTACCAGATTTAAACTGATGATCTATAATCCGGAAAAAAAATCGATAATCCGGAATCGCCGAAGTCCCGACGAGTCCAAATTGGCGTTAAGCTCTTTTCATCATTGTTCAAAATTACGACTCGGTCCGTGATGCAGGAAACGTGCTTTATGCATCTTCCATTTGTGATGCAGATCTTCCATGCATCAGAGAAGTGAGGCCTGCATCACAATCTGGGGTCATAATTTCGAACACCTTCTTTATTGACAATCATTGTTTGTTTTGGTTCTTATTTGTAAGTTTCTGCTGTACTAAACATAATAAAATATGTTTTGTCTCACTGTTTGTATCCTCCTTTTTTTGCGTTTTGTAGCATCACTACCATGCCAGGAAAGCGTTTCTGGCTATATATTTGCTACGTTATTTCCCATCGTCCAGGTGTACTCTATCTCTCCTGAATGTTTGTCACTGCTTTACTAATACAGCCTGTATATTTTAGCCATTCTTTCCCATATTTTATTGTCTTTTATGAGAATATACTATTAGTGGAAAATGCATAATAATGAGTAAAGAATGTCCTAAAGCTGTCTCAACTATTAAATAAATTTTCACCTTGTACTTTTATAAAACTAATGAAAAAAATTGTTAAATACTATTTTAATATAAGTCTGTAAAGGCACAAATTTAAAATTTAAAAAAGCTGACATTTGGAACACTAAATCTTAATAAATACTAGTAATATCAGTCACAATAGATATAAAGAAACCAAAATACAGTCAAAAGTCGTTAATTCGGACACCCATAATCCGGAATGATCTATAATCCGGACCTCAAAGCTAAAAACTTTCTGCGCATGCGCCGCTTTGACACATGCGCATAGGTGTTTACGCGTGCGCGTAAGACCTCTTACGACTGCGCATTTGCGTGTGCGCAGGTGCAGAATACGTTTTCACGTGCGTGTTTTATGTATAACAAACGGTATAAGCTAAAATATTCTAATTATCTATTTCAGTTAATGTTGATGATTGCGTTGTTCCTTAATTTTCAAATTGGATCCGGCTTATTATTTTTTGCAGACTGTAAGAGCAATACTATAAAAGTAAACTTGAACTTTCGATTATGTCAAATAGAATTTCCGAATCTGGAGCTCCCAAAAGATCGTACAAAACGAAAGTATGTTTCGATGTCCATCAAACAAAAAGTGGAATTGTTGCAAAAAATGGATAAAGACGTGAAGAATGTAACAGAGAGGTTAGTGAAAACGAAAAAATTTCGATTGACAAGTTAGTCGGTATTCTCGACACAGCAATTATAGGACTTGAACAGCGGAACTTTGTAACTGAACAAAAAATTATGTCTGTTTATAGAATTAAAGAGAAAATATTATCACATAAAACGAAGCAACTTAAACAACTTACATTGAAAGAAATGTTTAATAAAGTAAACAAATAAATATTAAGCTTTTTTTTTGTAAATTTTGATACCCTTTAGATCATAATTGTTCTTTATTTCATAAATTACGGTTTCATATTTTTAATTTTATAATTTCTGCATGCCATCTTACGCGATTTAAACTGATGATCTATAATCCGGAATCGCCGAGTCCCGACGAGTCCGGATTAACGACTTTTGACTGTATAAGAATTAATGCAGTTTAGCAGTATCAACAGACTTTATCTGCATTTATAAACCGAAACTTCTGCTTTTGAAAAATACATTCAGCTTATATAATTTTCATTTCCTTTAATGTATCAATATTTAAAAACTGCAGATAATAATACCCTAAATAGCCAAGAATTAAAAAATAATTATTACTTTATATGCTCATACTAATCATTTAAAAGTTTAAAAAAATTATTAGTTATTATTATAACAAAAATTGTTTAAAATAAAATCTTTCCAGAAAAATATTTAGCAATATATACAAAACATGAAAGAATAAATACATGAATAAAATGTTCTTAGTCTGTCTTTGAATGATTACAAAGAATTAAAGTAAGGAAAATTAATAACAATTTATTTGGACGGAATTTTGCACATTGAAGAATGGCAAATTTACATTCAAACTAGAAGACATTTTACACGTCAGAAAATGCAATAGAATTTTTTTATTTATAACTAACAAGCAAAGTAAAACTAGTATCCAATAAACTTTTCTGATATTTACTACTATTTTCACAACCCTGGTGACAAACCACCAAATTATATAGAAAAATGGCTCTTTATGAATTTGACAAACTGCGTGATATCATAATAGAAGTTTTTTAATCCAAACATTGCAAAAACAATTTTGACAATTTTTAATTTATCAAGGAAAAAGATATATTACCTCACAATCTAATGTGTGTAAATGGCGATGAAATTAAACTTATATAAACGAAAGTATGTGGAGGTGTACCTTAAAAAGTCATTAAAAAAACAGCATTCAATCTGAAAACTGGCTTAATGCTTTTAGAACATTATTCCTAACAGTGCTCCATTTCATCTACCATTAGAAAGGAAAACTAACATAATTCAAGTGCGTTAAATTGCTCAACATCTGTCAAAATACTGTGATCGACTGGAGCAATTTTATGAGAAATGTTTGCTCCCTAGATTTATTTTGACAATCTAAAGGATGAATAGAGGGCCCTGCAAGAATAGTCAAAATTGATGGCAGCTTGTGGAAGGATCAACAATATATTCAGATCATTGGCAAAACTATAAAACAGACAAGCTTGGAAAGACTGGTTATAGTGATTCAACTGTAAATCACATATTTAATTTTGTTGATTTAACAATGGATGCTTACACCCAAAATATGGAAAGATTGTGGGGTTCTGTTAAATAGCGAAACAAAAAGCAAAGGGGTTAACATCATCTAGAGTCATAGCATTCTAAATTTATATGGTGGCAATCCTTTGGGAATGATAAGCCTGTTGATATCATAAAACTAATATCTAACAAACATTTCTGGAATCTAATGATGAAAAATTAAATTTTACTTTCAATGAATTTTAAAGTTACAAATAACTAAATTCTACTTTCAATGAATTTTCACAGCACAAAATGTTGACTATTTTTAATGGGACCAAGTGATTAGTGACTCTGACCAAAGGGCCCAAGTTCGAATCCCAGAGAAGGTATGGATGTAATTTGCCCAGCATTTCATAGAAGGCAATCCCTTAGGAGCCTTTCTGGTCTTACAATTAGTAGTGGCCAACACCTATAAATAGCTGAAGCCTGCCGGGGGGAAGGGATAAATTAAAAAAATAATTGAGTTTGTATATTTATTTAATATGATTTAACTGAATATGCATCATTACACAGGATATTTGAAAAAAGTAGCTGCAAGTTCTATTTCCTTAAATATTGATCCTAGACAGGTAATTTGAATACAATATTTCGGAAAATAATAAAGAAAATTTTATGAAAAGCTTCAATCTATGAGTGGAATGATGTAAATTAACAAATTTAATTTTTAATAAATTTCCAGGCAGTAAAATATTTATCATGATTTAAATTAAATGGAAAATCTCTCCATCTGTATGAATAAAATTCAGAAATATTTAAATCTTATATTCCTATACAAGTTCTATTACCATTTAAAATTCAACATTTTTCAGCTTCATTTAAAAAGCCATAAAATAAATAAATAAAAACTTGTTTTGGGAATTAATTTTTGTATTGGTAAATACAGTATGCGTTATAGAACTTGTCGTTGATTCTATGAAACAAACAATTAATTACTTACATCTTTATGAATTTTTCAGGTAAGGGCATTACATTATATGTAATTCATAAACGTTTAATGACTTAATCATAATATTGAACATTTATATTTAATTCAGAAAAGTATAATGAATATTTTATGGCTTCATTTTTTCTCTATACAGACTACATAAAATATTAAATATTAAATTTTCTTATATTTTCAGAGACCTTTGATCTACCATATAAAAGCTGTTTAATTAAATTCTCTATCTTATTTTGAAAAACTTTGAGAAAAATTTTAACAGCTCAATAATTTAGGTAAGAAAAATTTAATACAGTTCTAGTTTAAGAAGAGAATTGAGAGCATTTCATATTCATTTAGACTTTCATGTAAGACTAAGTCAAATAAAACAAATACTGTAAGAAAAAGCAAAACATTAATTATCCTACAACAAGTTAGCAGGTAAATTTATGATCTAAGCATGCCCATTATATAGAAGTGGTTTAAAGATGGATATCTGCAATCACATACATTAGAAGTGGATTATTTTATTATAGTATACAACAGCTATCTGTCTCAGAAGTGTTATAATTTTGAGTGAAGGCACCATATAGAATACATTCCTCATAAATCTCACAGCCCTCTTCCTTTCATACAAGATATCAAAACAACTTTCAGGTTTATGGATTTCAACTTTCACAAAGACAATAGAATAATAAACACCCACATTTTATCTAATATTTAAACCTGAGTCACTACTGCTGTGATGGTCAGGCTTCATTAACCACCATACTGAACAATGTAATTTATCATACAAATACTGAATTGTTATAGTAGTCATACAAATTAATTAAAAACTGAAATTTTTATTTCCTGTATCTACAAGAAACATCAATTAAAAAATAATGATAATTGAAACATTAAATGGGAAAATTCTTAAAATATGTATGCGTAAAAACTATTAATATTCATACACATACCTTCATAACTTGTATTAGGCTCGTAATACTTTGGAGAACCTTTTATGCTAACTGATAAAGAAACCTCTCCTTTGGCCTCTCCAGGTTGATCAATATTATGATGATATTGGCAGAGAAGGAAAAATGACATAGCTTCTAAAGTTTGTCCATGGCTGGTTTCTACATTTAAATAAATTCCAAAAGTGCAAAGCAAGAATGCTAGTAACAAATTTTCAGATATAGCTGCCATTTTGCTTTTATACATTGTTCCTCATTAGTTACAGTTCATAAAGCTGTAATGAGACAAATACAAATCCATCACTTTTAAACAATAATTTTATGTAATAAATAATAGAAATATATAAATTTATCTTGAAAGATAATGAACAAAAAGCCTTTTAATTTTTTTCATTATTATTAATAATAAAATATACTTTTTTTAGTACAACAAGTGGGGGTTTGTAAATTTGGCATTCTACAGAGTATTAATTGAAACAGTCATTCATTTAACTTTTTCATTCCTGGGAACATTACTTAAGTTGCACTGCACAGAGTGACAAGAGTAATCTTACACAGAAGTAAACTTATACCTTCAATATCAAAGCAGTCATACACTAAAAATATATGAGTATATATACTAAATATGTCATTTTTTATTTGCTTATTAAACTATTAAAAAATCTCATACAACATTGAACTTAACATTCCAATGAATGCTAAAAAAATTATAAATTAAACAAAAAGGGAAAACAAAAAATATTTCAAGTAAAATTAAATCCAGAATAATATTTTTGAACACATTAATTAGCCTTAAAATGAGATATGAATATGTTTAACATCCCAAACTAGAGAAATAGCATCCAAATTTTCAAAATTATCTATTTTAAGTGTTTTTAAATTAAAAATAAAAAAAGTATTATGCTCAAAGATTAAATAATTTTATAACTCATTTCTTTTTATCCTATTATAACTACATGCAAGAAACGTGACAAAATGTAACAATAATAAAATTTTAAAATTTTTCAGAAAAAAAAAAAAAAAAAAACATAGTGCCAATTGTACAAAATAAAATCTACAATCACACAAGTTTGCTAATTGTAGAGGGAATATATTATCAAAAAGAAAAATGCTACTGCCTTTATAACAACATATTAAACAGATTTTCTAGATAGAAAGAGATTTTCAATTTTAGCAAAAAATCAAAACACATTCAGATAAAATAAATAAAAATAACAAGCTAATATTTAAAGGAAAAACTTACCTGGTTTATGTTTATGTAATTTTAGTTTTGTACAATAATTTAAATGCTAAATTGTTATGAGTATGTACAAGAAAACATAATTAGAAAGAGCATATTTGAAAAGCTCACTCACATGAGATTTCTCCGCCTTCTGACTTAACAGGAAATATAAGAATGATAAGAACTGTCTTAATTGAAGGAACTGCAAATCAGCAACTGCCTCACAGTGACCAATACATGAAAAAATAATTGCTGCAATTCTATTTCCTGCCATCATTGCTGCTATCTAAAAATACTTAGATTAAACTTGAGGAAGACAATGAAATAATACATATTGAAATAGACAAAGAGCATTAGATAAAATTAGACGATTTACATTTCAGATATAATGAAATAATTTTAATAAATGATATTTCTTCAAGAAAAATCTAATCTATCTATGAATTTTACGAAATCATTAAATATGTATTTTGAGATGTCAATAATTTAAACATTTTACATTTTCATATAACAAAATAGCACAGCCAGAGATTACATAGTGAGAAACTTAAAAAAAAAAAAAAAAAGATATAAACTTAGTTTTTCATAAGGTGAAGCTATAAGAATGTGTATTTCATGATTATAATAGTCAAATGAATATCTCAAGTGCCATTCACATTAAAAATTTTAAAGAATTTGAAATGTGTTTGAACAGCCTTCATAAAAATATTGTTCTAAAAAAATTTAACTTCTCATCAATTAATTAAGACACAATAACACGCCGAATAAATACTAATTCAGAAGTCAAACAACAAAAATCTCATCAATTATTTCAGTATTTCTTAAGTGCTTTAAAAAAATATAACAAAATATGAAATATAATTTAAAAAAAGTATATCAATATTTTAATCATTTTTAATTGCTTTTTATATATCATCATATTTGATTTAGCATAAATATATGTGATATAAAAATTTAAATCCTTTGAAGTTTTGAAACCTAAATGTCAACATAACATGAAATCTTACCTGATAAAATCAAAATAGTTTGAACTCTTCTATTTATATGAAAATATGGAGATAAAATTTTTCTAAATATAAAAAATATGTCTCTTAGGTTAATTATTCCACTTAACAAAGAATGGTACAATTTAAAACTTTATTGACAAAACTTACTTTGAAGATAAAAGCACTTTTTTAGTTATAAGATATATAGATATTATTCCAGCACCTCTACATAAAACCATATAAACAGCAATCATCATACAAGTACCTGACAGTATCAAATTAGTACCTTCGATAAGGAATTACTTGGCATATGTTGTCCTGTAATGAAAAAATGCCTCCGTATTTTTATTAAGAAAAGCTTAGTGGATGTCTTAATGTTTCAAAGTGATAAAATTTAATGATTTTTTTAATATTTTTATGTATTTTAACAATTTAGTTTTTTCTGTTTCTTCAGATATATTTATTTTCAATAAGGGTTCTAGATTTTACTTGAGTGTCCTTAACATAGATAAATTACATATAATAATTATGCACTATTGAGGCTATCAAAATTATGCAATATATTAAATAAGTATTGTGTTTAAGCATTACACAACCATACTTCCATTTGTATATTCATTCTAATTTTTTTCAAGATTTTTTTCTGTTATCAGAACCAGATTGAGGAATGTAAGTATGTGTGTGTCTATATGCATATATGTGTGTATACATACATCTAAATATATATGCACACATACAGACATTTTTTAACCCGGTCCCGATAACAGAAGTCCCTTTTTCAAATCTTATCATCATATGTCTAATCAATATTTTTTAAATTTCATTTGTACAGAGTATAAAAAATTAAATGACCATTGAGTATAAATTTTTTGAACTTGATGTTTGACTTAAAAGGCCAGTAAACCTTTTTCCAAACTGTATGCATAAAAAACAGGAGATTTGTTAAGGTGTATGAAAGGTAAATATAAATAAAGCATGTTAATTTGCATTATAATGATGATTTTCAGCATTATATCAATGTCCATCTCATTATTTTGAATTTTAAAATAAGAGGAGAAGAGAGAGAATTTTTGATGATAACTTTATACATTCGTCATGCAAATTACATTATCTTTAACAAAAATAATGCTTCCTTTAGGTACTTCTTTTCAAAAAATTAAATTCCTGGATTAGTCTTTTAATTTGTTTACACACAAAACTTTACACCTATTGATGAAGTAAATCATAGAAAGGATAAAAATGTTTCATATCTGTCTAAAAAATAGAAATTCTTTTTATTAATAAAATTCTAAAGTCACAACTGTGCTGAACAATATTATATTTTGATACCATATGTGCAGAACACTGTGCACACACTGTTTATGGATGACAACACAGTATGATAAAGTGATTTTTTCAAAAATCTGTTTTAGAGTTTTATTATTATTATTATTTAATGTCGAAATGATTTGAAAATAAATACCCTTATAAATATATTAAACTTACTATAGAAGTTTTTTGCCATTTCATAAATGCTATTTCTCTTCTTCTTTCATACATTATATTTTATAGTTCATTTCATTAATCTTTAAAAAATAACCGAGTTTTAAGCTTGATTAGTGTTTAAAATTATTTGCAATGACATCTACCATGTCATTTTTAATTTTTTTTTCAATCCATAAGTTTACATACATTTTCCATAGCATTTCAATTTAAAAATTTATTTTCTTAGTTTTATTATTATAAAAAATATTAATTAGTTGACTTTCCGGAATATTTTTGGAAACCAGCAGCAATTTTATAAGCTTTATTTAACTCCCATTTGGTACTTGTCACTGTAGTCAAAATCTTTACATCAATTTTTAAATTATTCAGTGATAAGCTATGGAGCTCAAATTTCGCACACAGACTCATTGTGGATGACGATACAACGTAGTGAAATAATTTTTCCTAAATTTAATGTTAAAATGATTTTCACTCTTATTGCTATTTCATGAACACACTAAAACTCAGAATTTTAATTTTTGCATAACCTGATGGGAGGGGGGAATCTTTGAAATGAACTTTACATGAGATTTTTTGGCAAAAATGCTGTATTTTTTAGAGTATCTGACATAACAGAATTGTTAGAAGTGGAAAAGAGATTAGTCACTCCTGAAAAATGGTTTTTTAATTCAACAATTTGATAGACAACATGTCATTGTTACAAAGATCAAAATAATAAATATTACAAATTTCTTTTATAAAATAAGCTTTTATTTAAAACTCATAAAGTAATTAATAAATTAAAAGGAGAAAAATAATTACCCTATAGTTTAATGGGAATAAGTTATTAAATAATTCTCTTAAGAAAATTCATCTACAATTTTACATCCAGAATACTACAAGTAAATTTAAAAAAATTAATTTTATTGCATTCTCAAAACTATAAACCAGTACCTTTACAAATTTATCAAGGATACCTAATGCTTTTAAAATTCTGAATATAAGACTGTAAATGAATTGTAACTGCAAATGCAAAGGATATAAAAAATATAGAGAGAATAATTTAATCTCTTGTTCCTATTAAACTAAATGATAATTTATTTTTCCTCTTTTTAGCTCATTAACTATTTTATGAGTTTAAAAAAAAAAACTTACTTTATAAAACTTTTTAGTCCAAAGGGGCAATTTGCCATGAAGGACTATTAATTTCATTTTGGCATTTTGTATTGAACACTTTAAAAGGCTGTATCACTTTTTAAATCGTTGTCAAAATATATTATTGCCCTGTCTTATATTTAAAAAAATTAAATAATGAAAAATCTGCATAAACCTATGCATGTTTCTCGCATTGTGATAAACAACAGTACCTAGAGCCATCAAAATTTAAATAATCAGCAAATTTTTGATTAAAAAACTAAATGATTTCAAAGCAAGCAATGGCAACACTGTACGAAAAAAAATTTTTATCTCCAGTGTGCGACACTCTGTATCGGAAATTCTAAAGATATGCTCATTTTAAAATTAATTTGCAACACTGCTGTTGAATTTTATAGTTTGAGTATGTAGAATACAATATTTAATAAATAAAGGTAACACACAAAACATTTAAAAAAAGCCCCTTTGGACGTAATTTAAAATCTGAAACCTTTTAGATATTTTGTCTTTTTTTTTAAATATTTTTAGCCCAAAGGGGCAATTTGTCTAGAAGGGCTATTAATTTCATTTTGGCATTCTGAACTAGTTCACTTTAAATGGCGTTTCCCTTTTCAAGGTGTTGCGACCAAATATTAAAGCTCTACATTATATTTAAAGAAATTAAATAATGAAGAATCTGTTTGAATGTATGTACTCGTATGTTTCTCCCACTGTGAAAAAAATAATGGCACATAGAGACATCAAATTATGAGTAATGTAGTCCTCCACTCAAATATGGGCATCTAGAAGAACAAATTTGGAATCTAGAATTAGTTTCATTATTTATTTCATATTTCGTAAAACTTTTAATGAATTTTTAATTAACAAACTAAATGATTTTAAAGCGAGCAATGGCAAAACTGTACAGGGAAAAAAAAAAACATTTTTATCTCCAGCACGTGAGACTGTGTATTGGAAATTCTAAAGATATGATCTTTTTTAATTATTTTGCGATATTGCTGCTAATTTTATGGTTTAAGTGCTAAGAACATGCTATTTAATAAATAATGGTAACACACAAAACATTAAAAAAGAAAACGCTTTTGGGTGTAATATAAAATCTGAAAGCTTTTGCAATTTTTTTTATTTAATTTCTCATTTCTTTTCTACATTATATCAGAAATCAAGAAAAATTTAAGAAATTTCATAAACATACTTCGAAATAACTGAAAAGACATAACAACCAGAGAAACAGGCTAAAAGGCACACCAAACAACAAACAGAAAAAGATGCCAAGAGTGTTACATACCCATAAATATTTATCATGTTTTAAATACCTTTAAATGCATAGACACTCATTTCTATATTAATGTAATAGAAAAATAAATTTTAAATATTTTAAAATTAATTTAGCACATAATGCTACACTTATTTTGCATTTTTGACATACATTAAGCACAAAGGAAATTTTATTTTTTCTTTATCCACACATTTAGTTTTAAATGATAAATCGATTTTTTTTTTTATATATATATATATATATTTTTGCAAAAATATACATCATAATAGCCAACAGATGCATGGATATATCATATATGCAAATTTGAATATATTTAACTTTTATTTTATTGATCAGCATTCCCCAAGCACTTTTCAATCCAAACATCATATTTATCAAAATTGTATAAAATATTCTACAAATTTTAATGCCTGGTAAGAAAGCACTGGTTTCTTCAGAAATATAATACTATCATGTCTAAAATGCAGAATATAAATATTTTTATTTCATGAATGCAAAGAAAGTAAAAATGTTCTATGCAGTGAAAAATAATAATATATAATACAGTCAAAAGTCATTAATCCGGACTCGTCGGGACTTCGGCGATTCCGTATTATCAGTTTTTCCGGATTATAGATCATCAGTTTAAATCTGGTAAGATGGCATGTAAAAATTATAAAATTAAAAATATAAAACTGTAATTTATGAAATAAAGAACAATTACGATCTAAAGGGTATCAAAATTTACAAAAAAAAAAAAAAGCTTAATATTTATTTGTTTACTTTATTAAACATTTCTTTCAATGTAAGTTGTTTAAGTTGCTTCGATTCATGTGAGAATACTTTCTCTTTAATTCTATTAAACAGACATAATTTCTTGTTTAGTTACAAAGTTCCGCTGTTCAAGTCCTATAATTGCTGTGTGGAGAATACCGACTAATTTGTCAATCGAAATTTTTTCATTTTCAATAACCTCTGTTTCACTTTCTTCACTATCAGAAGCGAATTATAATGACGAGGAACTTGATTTAAATCATATCAAAGACGGAGTACATCGAGATGAAATACTGCATTTAGTAAGGAATTATAAGCCAAATAAAATAAAAACATGTGCCCTTAAGATAAGGATAGTGCTGACAGATTAACTTCCAATTCATTGCGTGCCGCGGCGTTTCCTCCCCCCCCTTCCGCGCCGCAGGGCAGCGTGAAATTGATAAACAGATTTCGGAATGGTTAGAGAAACGAAGGATATGCATTTATTTATTTTTTGCAGCAATTCCACTTTTTGTTTAATGGACTTCGAAACATACTTTCGCTTTGTAGATCCTTTACATATTAGTAAATATATATTAAAAATTCTATTTGACATAATCGAAAGTTCAAGCTTACTTTTATAAAACTGCTCTAACAGTCTGCAAAAAATAATAAGCCAGATCCAATTTGAAGATTAAGGAACAGCGCAATCTGCAACATTAACTGAATTAGATAATTTTAGCTTAGCTTATACCGTCCGTTATACTTTAAACGCGCAAGCGTAAACGTATTATGCGCATGCACACATGCATATTCGCAGCCGTTAAATAATATAATGTAATATATAACAATATAATAATATTGTTTCATAAGAATAAATTGAATTTAATTAAAAAAATTAAATTTAAATACAAATTTAATTAAATATTCTTTGCGTCTTTGCTACTAGGAATGAAATTTAAATTTAAACAAATTTAAATTTAATATTTAACAAATACGTAAAAAGTAAAAAAGCAAATTTAAATCCTAAAAAAAAGGAAAAAAAGCCAAAATAATTTTTAAAAAAATGTGCAAACATATAAAAGATTTAATTTAATTTAAATGATATTGTAGATTAGTTCGAGTATTAAATCTTTTATATGTTGCATATTTTTTTTAAAAATTATTTTGGCTTTTTTCCTTTTTTTTAGGTATTTAAATTTGCTTTTTTTTACTTTTTATACGTATTTGTTAAAAATTAAATTTAAATTTGTTTTAAATATAAATAATTTTGTATATAATGTAAAAATTCCATAACCAAAAATTAACATTCTATAAATTTTGTCAACATGAAATCTAAAATACCTGGAATTTTAGATGGAACATGAATTTTAGATGGAGTGCTGAATTTCAGGATGGAAACTAGTTTCAAAACATACTTTAAAACAGATGTTCACTTTACTTCAGCTGATGTCAGTGAAATCTGTGATGAAGAATTATGATTATTACTCAAAATAGCTATTGTCTGGTCAAATTACTACAGAACTGAACATGTCTTATACTGAAAAAGAAAATTAAAAAAAATAAGCAATATTAAGTGCATTGTTAAAACAGACAAAAGTCTCTCAGTCATAAAAATACACAAACAAGCATTTTTAGGCAATTATCAAAATTGGCAGTAATTTGATAACTTTTCAACAGAATTCAGATAAACAAAGAATATATATTTTTGAACATTTTTTTTATACCAATACTTTTTATATCTTTCACTGCAGAAATAACTTTTCTATCTTTTTAGATAGACATTCCTATCATCTAGTACAAATGCAGATTCTTATTATCTACTATAGTAATCTTTTTAGCAGTTTTGAATTAATAACTACCAATTATCATTTGTCTTTGAATTCCAATCAATTGCTGATATCTTTAATGTGTATACACTTCAGCCTTAGAATTTTAGACAAAATGTTTATTCTAAAACAGAATGGTGCTAGAACAGAAACTAGTGCTTTTTTAAGCAGTAAAAAAAGGTTTGCATTCTTTCATTTATAGCAGAAACATTTTATAAGCCGAAAATTAAATTAAATTAAAAAATAGATTACCACAAACTATTAATTAAATATTCTAGTTCACAGATTACGGGGAAGATTTCTACATAGTTCAAACCAACAGTTTGTTTTTTCTTGAGTGCTACAATTATTGCTCCTTTAGGAAATAAAAAATCATTTTTCTAGAATGGCTCAAACATAGAACAGAAATTTACCATCTTGCCCAATATTTTGTCTTTCAGAATGACATAATATTTTCCTTTCACAGTTTTCTAAAATCTTTTCAGGATTTAGGGATGGGTGATTCCCACACAAATTTCATAATTAAGACATATGTAGAAACATCCATAATTAAGGTATAAGTAAAATTACATAATGGGTTAATCTTTGGATTATGGTAACTTGGCAATTTTTTGGCAAAAATTTGGCAACCAACACTGCTACAGCAACCTGCTAGTTTTTGTTTGGACTCCATTTTGTTTTCACGAAGTAAAGGCATTTTTTTTTTTTTTTTCCCAACACTTTTTTCCTACAATCTGCTAGCCGAATTACACTTATGCTAGAACTTTTATCGAACAAAAGTGTTTAATCATGACGAAGATTAGGTCCAAAATTGGAAGAAAGTGCAGAATCGCAAACTGCTTGCTGTGTTTTTAAGAATTGCACATACACAGTAACCATGTACACGTTCACCTATTTTTCACTTAAAAAAACATTCCGGAATTGCACAAAAATGGCATTGCGCACACTCTTGACTTTATCCATGTATTCTGCTAAAGTCCTAGCTAGTAACCTTTAGCACCTTACCAAAATGTCACCAAACTACCTGTTACCATATTCCAAAGATTAGCCACATAATGGTTTCATTAAACACTTTATAATAAAGCTACAAATGTTACAGTTTTGAAACATATTTGCCTTCATAAATTTCCATAATGCTCATATAAAAGACCCTAACATCTCCCCAATGAAAATACTTTTATCCCATATTTTTCTTGTTAGAAAGGTGAACATAAAATTTTGAGTGATGTAAGAAGGATATTCTGCCCCTAAAGAGCCTAATTTAAACAAATGTTATTTTTTCTTGTTTCTTCTAGAAGTTTTTCTTATTAATACTCAGTTAAGCTATAAAAGTTTTCATCTGTTTGAAAAAAAAAAAAGTGATTAGGAATAATTAACAATGAATCTAGCTTTGGATATGACATACAATGTTCATATGTAAATGCCCACTTGTTGAGTATTATTTTAGAATTTTGGAGAACTCAGAATCTTGAGCAAAAAATGCAATATAAATATATACTTTTATAATTTAAAATATATGATCCATTTTATGTAGCTGAAAATGAAGAGTTTCAAACAAGATGATGAAAAATAATTTCTGAACTTCCCACTTTTAGTCTTAAAGTATGACATACAGTAATAAAACAGTTAATCCATTTTAATAACTTAGAAAAAGGATAAGAAAACTGTAAATATTTTGATGATAAACATAAATCATTATGAATTTATACTATAGACATTCAAGTAATAAATAAATAAATTCATCGCAAGTTTAATTTTTAAAACAGACTGATTCCTCGAAATACTTAATTTAAAATTTCGCAACAAGTCAACACCATTTCACGCATTTAAAACCGTGACTACCTTTTTAATTTCAGACAGCTTGTCTTTCAAGTTACACATCCTTCCGTGTCTGATTAAGTACAAAATAAAAGATCGTACTTCAACCCCCATCCTTATGAAATAACTTCGGAATATACACGCGTAATACATTCATGCTTCGTAATATATGAACAAGCATAAATATCCAGATCTTTAACAAAGAATTCGAAGGAGGTCCATTTATATCATAGCTAACTTCTATGACAAACATCTTTCCCCACATACCAACTCAAACAAATATCATTCGAAAAGAGTCGCCAACAGCAGACGATGCAAATATGATGTTGCCACAATTTCAAAATCTATCCTTTTGCATTTTTTTCTTTTTCCAAAATGACTTTAAAAAGTATTTTTAAATTACAAAATGAGATCGTAGAATTAAGTTAAAATCAAAATTTATATGATTTTAATTAAAATTTATTTTTAAGAAAATGTGTTTTATGTAATTTTAAAATTGTTTATGCGTAACGGGAAAGAGAAGCAGGGCTGTGTCACATTTAATTGATTTATAGAGTTGATTCTATTTCATTTAGTTTCTTTAGTTCCTTCTAAGCATAGAATTTGATAAGATTCATAAATATTTCTGAAGCAGCGAAATTATTCCTAAAATATTTACTTCATGTGAATTGGCAACAACATTTAAAAGGATTTAAATTTTTATTTACTTTTCGTTGAGTGAATAGAATGTGATATTCATTTAAATTAGTTTAATGTTTATTGCTAACTCAAAATGCTTCGAGATAACATTTCTAGAGAGGCGGAACTTCAAAGCCTTTTACGAGACGAAAGAGACAGATGTAGCCAGTACAAGCAGATATATCAGACACTGAAAGACAAACATGCCGAGTAAGATGATGAGGTCTCTCAAAAAATATTTCTAATTTACTTCGCTGTCTCTGATAATTTTTCTTTTAATCATTTAGGTTTAATTCTTGTGCCTCTTTCCAATCTTAGGTTACAGGAGGAACTGCAGTCTATTTATGAACAACTAAAAGATGCTGTAGCACAAAATGAACAGATGAAGTCATCTAATGAATCTTATATTCATCATTTACAAGCTAAAATAAAAGAACAACAGGGTGAATTAAATATTTTAAAAGGAAAGGTACGTTTTTCTTAAGTTATATATGAGTCAGAATTAAACTTGGAAAAGCTTTGATTAATGTCTCTACCATTGTTAAATCAGAAATTAATTGAAGGATACATAACAATGTACCATTTTTAAAAACCATCCGATAAATTAAAGGTTATTCTCAACTGACGGAATCTCGAGATTTTCCGTGAGTTGCTTAGAGTAACTACTAAATAAAAGCATACATATTACACATTACAGTTTTAAATAAGGACTCCTAATTATAACTATTCACATTTTAACTGCAAAAAATTACCTAACCTTGTTGCCTCAAAGCCTTGTTCAGTAAAAAAATGACAAAGTTACCTTATTCACTGAGTTTGTGTCCAGTAAAATTTCATTTGAAAATCATATCTTTGACATCTGAATTGAATGATGGTATATCTGCTTGATTTTTCAACACATGAAAAACCAAGGAGATCATAACACAGTGATTTAATATATAATAATTATCTTTTGTATTTTATTTTAAATAAGATTTTTTTTTTTTTTTTTTTTTTCCTACATAATATTTTCTTTCAGAATATTAAGAATCATGTATATTTGAAGTTTACCATGAAAAGCATTGGAATTTCAGAAAAACTGCCGCAAAGGCTTCCTCATTGCTTTGGCATATCAAATAACCAACCAAGTATTGCTGTTGAAAAAATGTGATTTTATTCATAGCTTCAAAAACAAAATCCATCATGATTCAAATTCTACCAAAATTTATCGAACATCATAACTTTTATGGTGAATTTTTAGATTATGATATACTGTCAATAAATATCACAACATTGCCATTAGATGGTAATTGATAAAAGAAATACCATTCTTGATTTCCCTTCATTTTTCTCCGTGTAACCTGAACTTGTGACCTTGTGAAATAATTATCGTTTGCCTAAGTAAAAATAAATTGCTAATAGTTTAATGTACAGTTTAATTTTTCTGAATGTCAATTCAATTGAATGATTTTTTTCTAAGCATTTCAGAGTGTATTTAGAATATAATTATTATCAAAATGCATATGAGGTTTATTCTTTGTTGAGAACTTTACGCTTCATACTAAAGTTCTTGCTTGGTACATTTAAAGGTTTCTTTATAAATTTTCTAAAAAATAGCAAAATGGAAAATAGTTTAAATCTTTTCTTTCCAAAAGAGGAAAAATGATGACCATAACATTATCCAGTCTCTAAAGGCTGCTTTGTACCTGTATATTCAGATGACATGAAATGAATTCAAAGAGAGAATTATTTCCTTTATACAAGCTATTAAAAATTGTATCCATCTTTAAATAGAGACAAATAATATTTAAAATTTTCAAAAATATTCGCAAAAGATTTCATGTTTTAATAACGAATTTGTTTTCTTTATATTCATCTTTTAAATGACTTCAAAAACAGTTGGAAAAATCCATGCATTTCAATTTATTTTTAGTGTTGAATAATTTAAAATAAAATTACCTCATATTCTGGTGTATAACGTGCACTTTCATTATAAAAAATAAGATAGAAACTTATGGATGCACATTATACACCGAGTATAAAAATGATAGATTTAAAAATAAGGAATGAGCATAAAGAAATTATATTTCTATATGTAACTAAATGCTGTTTATTTATAAGAAATGACATGGCTTATGAACTTAAAATTGTCATTATCAAATAACATGAAAAGTTCATCATGTTCATCTTCCATTATATCTTCAGGCACATCATCAAATTCTGTGTCATCTCCACCACCACTGTTACTCTGATCCATAAATGAATAATTATCATTATCCATTCTATCTTTCACCGGCTTCAGATGACTACAGAAAGATAAAACATCTAACTCCTAATTTTACGAATTCATTCAGGTTGGAAGTGCATTTGTATTTCAAATTATATCCTCCTTTTCTCAAAGCCCTACAATAGCATTCTTCTCTCAAGCATTTAACCCACAAACATATTGTTCTCTTGTGGCCTTGCCTACTAATGTTTAAAATTAATTTATGATTAGGAACAGCATGAATTATAAACAAATAGCTAAAGTTTATTGCTTTTTATTTTCCAGCTATCGAAATGCGACGCTATGAGCAACGTTTTGAAACCAAAACCTAGCAATCATGAATCAGAATTAGTTGCCATTCATAAAGAAATTTAAATAAAATATGAACTACTTGTTGCCATTCAGCATAAAAGAAATATAAATATGAATATTAACAAAATATTAAAGTTAATTTTATAAAATAATTAAACACATGAACAAATATATGAAATAAAAAATAATTATTTCTCATGCAATAACTGGGACACTACACTACTGCCCCACCAGTAACTAAGTTACGTTACAAAGATGGAGAAATAGGTAGTAACTAGTATTGCAGTCTTAACCACTATCAGAATAATTTAGTCAGTCCTTGAATCTAACAGGTAAACGTATAGTTCGGCCTGTGCGAGAATGTCTTTGATTCACATCGGAATTTGAGTCCGGTCTCTGCAAGTTACTGTAGTCAGGTTGTATCAACTGGGAATTTTCCTCAGCTAAAATATATGCTGGTTTCAAACGATCCAGGGATACATTAACATGTTTTCCTTTTATGCTAATACAGTCAAAAGTCGTTAATCCGGACTCGTCGGGACTTCGGCGATTCCCGATTATAGATCATCAGTTTAAATCTCGTAAGATGGCATGCAGAAATTCTAAAATTAAAAATATGAAACCGTAATTTATGAAATAAAGAACAATTATGATCTAAAGGGTATCAAAATTTACAAAAAAAAAAAAAAAAAAAAAAAAAAAAAAAAGCTTAATATTTATTTGTTTACTTTATTAAACATTTCTCTCAATATAAGTTGTTTAAGTTGCTTCATTTTATGTGATACTAATACTTTCTCTTTAATTCTATAAAACAGACCATAATTTCTTTTCAGTTAAAGAGTTCTGCTGTTCAAGTCCCGTTAATTGCTGTGCCGAGAATACCGACTAACTGGTCAATCGAAATTTTTTCGTTTTCACTAACCTCTCTGTCACATTCTTCATGTCTTTATCCATTTTTTGCAGCAATTCCACTTTTTGTTTGTTGGATATCGAAACATACTTTCGTTTTGCAGATGCTTTGGAAGTTCCAGCATCGGAAATTCTATTTGACATAATCGAAAGTTCAAGTTTACTTTTATAAAATTGCTCTTACAGTCTGCAAAAAATAATAAGCGGGATCCAATTCGAAGATTAAGGAACAACGCAATCATTAACATTAACTGAAATAGATAATTAGATAATTTTAGCTTACACCGTCCGTTATACATTAAACGCGCAGGCGAAAACGTATTCTGCACTTGCTCACACGCATATGCGCAGTAGTCAAGGTCTTACGCGCACGCGTAAAACGCCTGTGCGCATGTGCCAATGCGGCGCATGCGCAGAAAGTTTTTAGCTTTGAGGTCCGGATTATAGATCATTCCGGATTATGGGTGTCCGAATTAACGACTTTTGACTGTAGTAAAATATTGGGCCTTGCGATCAATAACAGGAAACGGTCCTTCATAAGGAGGTTTCAAAGGTTTTTTTTACCCGATCTATTCGCTGAAACACATGAGAACAAGTTTTTAAGTCTTTATGTACAAATATCCGTTCAGATAAATTTTTACGAATTAGTCTAGGTCCAACAACTTCCATCTGTTTCTGGAGTTTATTAGCAAAAGTCTCCGATGATGTCTGGATACTTGGTTCGCTGAAAAACTCTCCAGGAAGTCCGAGACTCTGGCCATAAACTACTTGCGCAATAGAATGAGTTGTATCTTCTTGAATAGCAGTACGCAAATCCAAAAGTACTGTTGGTAATGTGTCCGTCCATGATATGTTGTTGTGGGCTTTTAATGCTGTTTTTAATGTTCGATGAAGGCACTCAACTTTGCCATTACACGAGGGGTGGTAGACAGTAGTGTGTTGTAAATTGATGCCACAGATTTTGGACAAAGCTCGTAATGTACCACTTTTAAATTGGGATCCACAATTACTAATGAGTTTACTTGGCGTTCCGAAACGTGCAATCCAGTTGCTATAAAAGGCTCTTGCGACATTCTCAGCTGAAATATTTTCTAAAGGAATTGCTTCCATCCAATTCAAAAATCTATCTACGCAAGTAAGACAATAAATATTCCCTTTAGATGGTGGAAGTGGTCCTATGAGATCGATATGGATGACAGAAAATCTTCCTGGTGGTACTTCAAACTCACCTAATTTTGTTTTGGTATGCTGACTGATTTTAGCTTTTTGGCAAGGAATGCAGGTTCTTGTCCACAACTGTACATCTTTTTTTTATGTTAGGCCAAAAGAATTTTGATGTCATTAATTTCATAGTCGATTTTATTCCTGGATGTGAGAAACCATGAATTTGCTGAAAGACGTGTTTTCTGAAAGCCTGAGGAATATACGGTTTAAATGTGTTTAGTTGATGTATCACTCCACAAATATTTCGCCGAAGGTAGAGAACATTGCTTTAAATTCAAGGAAGTAGTGGTTTCCAAACTCTTCAGTTCTTCATCTTGAGTTTGTTCATCAGCTATTTTATCACAATCTATCGATGAAATTTATTTAACTCTAGATGATGTATCTGCCACAATATTATTCTCACCTTTTACATATTTGATATCAGTCGAAAACTGGGAGAGGTATTGAAGTTGGCGAGCCTGTCTAGGTGCTGCTTTGTAAAGTTTTTGACGAAAGGCGAATATTAAGGGCTTGTGATCTCTATAAATTGTAAATACTCTTCCTTCTAGATAATGCTTAAAGTGTCTAACTGAAAGATATATGCACCTATGATATAGTTCTCTGTCATAGGTGTTATATTTTTGCTGAGTATCGTTTAATTTTTTAGAAAAAAATGCTATTGGTTTCCCGTGAGGAGTTTTCATATTGTTGCAACACTGAGCCAATCGCCGTATCTGAAGCATCTGTAAATAACGCCCAGAGGTAGTTCAGAATTTAGGAAAAGACAACAGTGCTGTGTTCACCAGGTCATTCTTGCACTTTGCAAACTGTTTTTTCAGCTTCTTCAGTCCATTTCAATTTTTACATTTGTCCCTCTTTTTAGCTCCCTTAAGATACGCATGTAACAATGCTTGATTCTTCGCTGCATCCTTTATATAATGATGATAAAAGTTAAGTATTCCAAGAAAAATTCTAAGTTCATGAATTGTTTCTGGGCATTTGTAGTTAGTAATAGCTTGAACTCTTTCTGGCAAAGGCCGGGAACCCTTAGGTGTAATTAGGTAGCCTAGAAACTCGATTTGTGGAACAGCAAATACAGATTTTGAAACATTAATTCTTAACCCAAACGTATGCAATCTTTCGAAAACTAATTTAAGGTGATTTTCGTGTTCTTCATAGGTACTGGATGCGATGAGTATATCGTCTAAATAGGGAAAAACAAACTCTAATCCTCTAAAGACTTCGTGAATAAATCATTGGAACGTTGCAGGAGCATTTTTTAAACCGAAACTAATTACGTTAAATTCGTATAAACCGAAAGAAGTGATGGTAGCCGTTTTACATTTGTCTTCTTCTGCAATGGGAATTTGAAAATAAGCTTTGAATAAATCAATTTTAGAAAAAATGTTGTACCTCTTAATATATGATGAAAATCTTCAACGCGAGGAATTGGGTATCGATCGGGTATCGTCTGTGCATTCAATCGTCGGTAGTCCCCGCAAAGACGATATGAACCATCCTTTTTCGTAACAAGGTGCAAGGGGCTTAACCACTGGGAATTTGATGGACGAATTATTACATTGTCAAGCATAAATTTAAATTCCTCTTTAGCTATAGCTAAGCGTTTTGGTTTTGGATTTGGGTGAGTGGTGTGATTACATCCTAATTGACTTAATTATCGTGAATGGCCTTAGGGCTTAAAATTGAACTATCTGGTAAAAATTCTATGTAATTGTATGCCAGTATTGAAAGAAACAATCAATTTAATAAGAAATGGCTGCGACTTGTTTTGAAAATGAGGCGTAAAAGGTTACCAGAGAGGATATTCTGTTTGGCATCAGTTGTACCATTATTGGCGACTTTATCGCCTGCACCGGCAAAGCGGAAAAGTACCAAATTATTTTATAGTTAACATGTAACAAAAGAAGGAGATGAGTTTATTTTAAATATAAACATGTTAGTCAGATAGGAAGCCTGATTTGTTTTAATTCTGAAACATTTTATGATCAAACATCAGCATTCTTTTATAACAATTTTTTTTTTTTTTTTTTTTTTTTTTTTTTTTTACATTTTAATATTAACATAAGAATAATATTGTATTAACTCTATGAATACTTTTGCAGTTACAGTCTCATGATCCCAAGAAGATTCAGACAGCGGTACTGGAAGAGGCAACCAAGCATTATGAACTGAAAATGAAAGAACTCCATTCAGAAGTTGATAAGTTGCGAGAACAGTATAATAATTTGCATTTTGAGAATGCAGTCCTTAAGTGCCAGTTCAAAAGTCATGAATCAGAATATTCAAGAAATTTAGAAAGAATGAAATTGCAACATCTTGCCGAAGTATGCTATTTTTCAAATATTTTAATTTTAAAAGTTCCAATTGAAATTTATATTGATGAAAGCATAAACAAAACTCGATTAGTTGTTTTATATATAAGATAGTTTCAATTGATAGTTTCACTAGCACCTTTAGAGAAGAGAGGCAGGGCGACAGTCTGAAACAGAGAATGCAGTGTGCTGCACTGTACAACCCAGATTTACTGAATACACTAAAAATTAGTTTTTAGATTAGTTTACTATTTTTATTGTTGATTCAATTTTATTCTTATTTTAAACCTGATTGTAACCTTTCCATTTATCCCTACTAACATTTTAGTACTATTCTTAAATGAAGTACAAGTAAAAATAATTTAATTCACTCTTCTTTATGTACAGCTGTCACAATAAAATTAAATGATATAATAAAGTTTTTTTTTTTTACAATTTAGGAAATTATATCTTCTGACTAAACATTCAATGAGTGTCCTTTTCAGAAATTTTAAATTAAAATTCTTCTGTTGTCACAATGATGGTAACTGTGATGTTATTGCACTTATTTTTTATTTTATTCAATTTTAAAATATCGAATGTTGTTTTGTCAGAGTTAAGTAGATTAAAATTTTTTTAGCCCAGAAGAGCTATTTCGTTTTGGCATTTTGTGTTGGTTCACTTTTCAAACTGTTGCTAACAAATATTAGAGCCCTGTATTATATTTAAAGAAATTAAATAATGAAGAATCTGCATAAATGTTTCTCACATCGTTATAAAACAATGCTACCTAGAGCTTTGAATAACCTAATCCTCGACCAAATTTGGGCATCTGGAAGCCCTAATTTGAAATTGTATTATCTATTTCATATTTTGTCAGTCATTAAGGAATTTTTTATTAACAAACTCGATGATTTCAAAGTGAGGAATGGTAACACTGTACAAAAAAAAAAGGCATTTTTATTTTCAGCGTGTGAGACTGTGTATTGAAAATTATGAAGATATGCTCATTTTAAAATTATTTTGCGGTATTGCTGATGAATTGAATTTTATGGTTTAAGTGCGAAAAACACAATATTTAATAAATAAAGGTGGCACACAAAACATTAAAAAAAAAAAATCCGATGTGTGCACCACATGACTTCCTTGTACGGAATATTAAATTATGTGCATTTTTTTTTTTTTTTTTTTTTTCATTTCATTTAAACTTATTGGATTGAATTAAATCTACTTCGTTGATAGTGCATAAACCACAATAGAATAAAAGCACTCTTTAAAATTCACTACATTTGTTTACCATAGCGAAACTCTGGCCCTAGGTTCACTTAACAACATTATATTTTGTTCGTTTTTTAACTCAGAATGCACAAAATTTATATTATCTTAAGAATTATCGGTACTTTTCCGTTTTGCCGGCGCAAACGATAAAGTCACCAGTAATGTTACAACTGATGCCAAACGGAATATCTTCGCTGGTAACCTTTTGCGCCTCATTTTCAAAAAATGTCACAGCCATTTCTTACCAGATTGATTGTTTCTTTCAATACAGGCATACAATTACATAGAATATTTACAAAGATAATTAAATTTTATGCCCTAAGACAATTCATGGTAATTAAGTCAATTAGGATGCAATCACACCGCTCACCCGAAGGCGAAAATATAGAAAAGGCAAAATCAAGGGTAAAATTCATCAATTCTAATGAGAATGCACTAGCGAAATAAAGTACTGCGGTTTTACATAATTTTGGCGTAAGATGTTCGTACAAATTGAAATAATTCTTGCATTTAAACTTGTATTCCAAATTAAGATTTAACTTGAAATTAACGTAGATAATTACTAAGAGAATTATATTTTTGTAGCGTAGTTTTTGTAGTGTTAAGCGAGATGAAATCACTTGGGGTCATGTGATACGAATCGGCGAATTAGGATTTTGAACCATGATAGCATATAGTAAATTCTTAAATTAATGTCTTTTTACAAATTTATTGTATTTCTTTATTGGCTTTTTACAAAATTTTAAACCATATTAAAATGTTTATGCCTTCAAAATAAAAAAATCTTAGAACTAATATTTGTTAATATTTTTTATGTGTATACTGTATGTTGTCGCCAACAAAGTTTGCTTGGCGAGATTTGCGCCGGCGAAACGGAAAAGTACCGAATTATCTAATCGTTGCCACATGTTCTATTCAAATACTATAATAAATCTAAAACAATGTATAAAAAAAATTAAGCAAAGAACAACAACAACAAAGTAAAAAGAAACAGTTTTTCACAGACGATTCAGTATTTTTCACTCAATTAATTCAGTTCTCACTTCGCAACAAGGCAAAAATACGTAAAAACTCAATGTCTATATTGAAAATTATGAAGTAAATCTTAAACACTTATTTCCTCTAATAAATTCCAAAATGAATTAAGCATGATTTAATTCGCAATAATAAAAGAAGGCGTTATCTTTGTTATTGGGAAGCTTACTTTCTCTAGATTGGCAACAAATCTACTATTCTGTTGTTTCAAATATCAACAAGCAATGGCCGACATGGCAAAAATTTTTAGGCTCAGTGGCACTTGAACAACTTTAAAATTGTTAATAATTCTAAAAATATTGCATACAAATTTACTAAAGGCATAAAAACCTTAACCGGAAGATAAGAACAGCATAATTCAATCATTTTTAAAGCAAAAGATGCACAGTTTACAAGAATAAAGAAACTGAGATCACTGAGCCGAGTAACAGAGTGGATGTATATATAAATGTATTTATATACGTTTGGTGCGGCCGATTGCAACCAAAATACGAGGTGCACATCTACATGTTATAGCAGTCCTATATACAAAATTTCAACGTTCTGAGGCTACTCGTTTTTGAGTTATGCGAACGTACGTACGTCAACAGACAAACGCCACGAAAATTCTCTTCAGAATTAATTTTAAAGCAGTTTTTTATAATTTTTTTTGAAGGAAAAGAGTATTTTATTCCGTCCTTACGTACAGATGTCAAGCAGAAACATAATTAAATTGCATTCGATAGCGGTGAAAATGGATATTTGCATTGAAATATGATGCCTGAAACTTTTCGCGATTACAATACTTCCTTTTTACTTCACACAAGGACGTAAAAAAACGCCCCTTTGGGCATGATGTAAAATCTGAAATCTTTCTTTCTTTTTATTTATTTATTTATTTATTTATTTTCTGCCTAAGTATTGCAGTGAAGTAAAATTAGTTGCTGAGCAATTTATTTTTTCACTTATGTCTTTCTGTGCTTCTAATGGTAAACAGTAGTGAATTGCATGGTGTAAGAAATATATACAGATTGAAAATATCTTGCAGAAAAATGTCAAGATAATGACAAGATTTAATTCAGTATTATTTCTGCAAGCCTTCAGATATCTATTAGCATTTCTGCTTTAGTTATAGGCACAAAAGATTCACTGAACCACTGGTGGCAAGTCCATGTCTGATCATTCTTTTTGCCAAAGTGTTACAAAGTTGTAATTCTCATGCAGCTTAAAGATTCAATGTATCAGATATAGTCAGATAACCAAAAATACATAGTAAGATTATGGATCTTGCTATCAGTTTGGAGGTCCTCACAAATTCTTATGCAAGTCATTTTCTTAAAGATGAAATTCGACCACAATTTACCATTAGAACACACTATCCTAGAGAGGTTTTAAACAGCAAAATAATCTCGCATGTGGTTTATTCGGTTTTATGAAACAGTGGCTTGTGTTTTTGTTGTTCATTATTTAATAGTAAGTCAATTTCTAATTCAGTATTTTATAGATATAATAAGTGAATAGAGTGAAATTTGAAAATTACACAAATATAGGGCCTGGTGCAAAATATTCTTTATGCAGTGAATCTTTTGTGCCTATAACTAAATTGAATCAACAATTGATAAACAAAGATAGTTATTAATATCTTAAAAGAAGGTTATATGGAATTGTGTTTCTCAGATTAAGAAACATTGCATTTGGCTGAGAATAAAATGGCTTTTAGGGAAACATGGAATAAGTTGTACTATATACCAAGTAATGGAAACTATTAAGGACTTAATTATTTGTTGGTAAAATTTGATCATATGATGGAGGAGTATGTTAAAATGGTCGAGGATGATGATGTAACAGACTTTCAGAAAATGCTTTGGGGGAAAATATTCAAAATGAATTATTAGAATTTATGGCATTAGCAGTAAAATTTTAAATTTTACCCAAAATTAAGCAATCAAATTATTACTTAATTGTAGTGGACTTCACCCTAGCCATTTGTCACATCAAGAAACTTTTTACAGTCATTAGATTCATGATATCATTCATAATATATTAAGTATAAGTATAAAAGAACATTTCTCTGCATTTTTGTGAAACAACTGGTGGAAGTCTTAATGTTTCTGTTTTAAACACTTTGAATAGCCAGAAAGACTGCAGGGAACAAGAGTATGACAATGAAACAAACATGAAAGGTGAAAAAAAATCTTTCAATTATTAACTTAATTAAATTTATCTAGATGCTATAAATTTTTTATTCTTATTTGGAAAATTATAAGATAATAGGCAGTGAGCAGCAGGGCTGTGAAGTCGGTAGGAAAAATAACCTACTCCTGGAATTTTAAAGACTCTTACTCCGACTCGACTCCAATTCCCTCATATATATGTATATATGTAAACATATACACATGGGTTACAGCTTATTTTTTTAATATAAAAGAGGTAGTAAATAGATGCTACAGAAAAAAATTGATGGCATAGAAAATTATTTATATTATTTAGCATTTATTATGAAATGGAAAAAATGGTATTAGTTACTTCTAAGAAACAGTATAGCTTCGGAAAGATCTTTGTTGGAGGACCATAGATCCGATTTGATAAACTTCAGAGCTGAGATGAGCCTTTCCACAATAACTTGAGTAGGAGGAAGAGCTGTTACTGTTAGGGATACTTCTTTTAACTTTTCAGGATAGATTTTTTTATAAGTTCTAAAAGAGTTGTCTTGCAAGCGCAATGATATTTCTCTATTTCTT